GGAAAGCGACATGTCCCGACTCGATGAGGGCGACATGAAAGACCCACAAAGAGGAACACAGCGTGCAGATGGATGCAGGGGGGCCCCTCGTTTATCTGCATTCAGCAGCACGAGGACTTCACAGGACAGGCTGACGGCAAATGTTTGATGTAGAATTAACAAAAAAATGAATGAAGTCTGGTCAGAGAAGAGATTCGTGGGAGAAACGCTTCAGTTCTTCGTGTTTTGATTAAACGAACTTTATCACGTACGTTAGGTCATCAGTACACGATGACCTAACGTACACGAAGGCTCCTCCTCCAAACCCTCCACATTCCTCTGCTGTGAAGAGCTGAATATTAATGTGCCCCCCCCGAGCCCACCTCCACATCAGAAACTTCCTTCTAGCTGAAACTAATCCAACATTTACTGAATGTCTGAGGTTTCAAGTGTCGGTTAGCTTTTGGTGTCACTCGCTGTCGCTTCTTCTTCTGTGGTTATTGTGGTGGCAGAGATTGGTGGTTGCCATGGCGAGATGAGCAGCACTGTTGGAGTGAAAGTTTCAGTGTAGGTCTCGTTTATCGCTCTGACCCTCTGAAACCGCGTGCCGTCACCTGTCGGGCACTTCAGGAGAAAAATGGATTTGTGCGTCGCGGCGACGCGGTCCACGATGGCTGCGATTGGCCATAAGTGTGGAAGGTGTGTCGCGGTGCCCAGAGCAGGTGAGGAGGCCAGGAAGTCAGACACAGGAAGGGTATAAAGAATCCTGTCAAAATAAAAGCACGTGTGCCAACTAAATTATTTTTTTTCCCCCTAAAAAACAACTTTTAGTTCAATAAATGCAGTTTGTTCGATTCATAATGACTCATCTGTTCGGACGTTTTCGGGGTTGTGGGAGCAGCAGATATGCAGACCTCCCCGGCCTCCTCCAGCTCCTCTGAGGGGGCGCTGAGGCAGTCCAAACCAGCCGAGAGATAAAATCTGTCCAGTGTCTCCCGGGTCCGATTCCTGGACGTGAGACGCCTCACCCAGGATGCCGAACCACCCCAGCTCTTTCACATTACCAAACATGCAGATGTTGGGAGTTGGCTGCGTTTTGGATCTGATGATCCTCGGCTGAACATGACAATGACGATGATGATGATCGCTCCACAGCAGCTGATGTGTGAGGCGTCTGTTCGCTGTGAGTCAGAGAGCAGTGCACTGTGGGAAAACCCTGTTTCCCAACCTGCCATCAAAAGAC